CAGAGCGATGAAAACACGGGTGTGTAGCACTTTGAGGACCGCGTTATGTCGATACGGTGAAATCGACATGAAATGGACAGGCTGACATCAAGTGCATTACAAAAACAGGCGCCTCGCGGCACCTGTATATCCATTACTTGACTGTGGCAGACTAGGATGTTGAAGATGCTATCCAAACAGACCATGATAAACCCCTCATATTCTGACTTGAATCCACCAGAGTAAAGCGAATGTCAGGTGTTTCCATAAGCCGAGTTCTTCAATGTTGTTGAAGAAGACCTCGTGCATTGGCCCATCCTTGTGTTACCGCATGAGTAGAGTATCTCTTAGACTTTCATGTGAACCTTTTGCTGAATGGACTGAAGCGGTGACAGTGTTGTGATCACCTCGTTTAGTGTCGAAAACTGAAACGATTTTATCAGCCGCTTGGGCAGCTGCCTTCAAGAGAAAAGCTTCAATTTCTGCTCTCTCATAATAACGGCCCCTGCAGAGAAATGAATCCGATCCCCCGATGATTTCACAGGATGTATTCAGTACCATTCTGCCGACAGCACACTCCAAACTCAAGAGTCCATGGCTTCTCTATTGCTGAAGAAAGTAGTACCGTAGAAAGAACGATTTGAGTTGCTAACTCCTATGGAAATGCATAATTTTTTGGGTCTTCACATCGACGTAATACAGCTCCTTCCGAGTTCATGTCACTACTCCGGATGAGTAGAGTAAGATTGGAATTGCAAACAGATTCGTAACATCAATTTGTTCTTCCAAGACAGTTCCGATGACCACAAGTATCAGCACTAACTCTGACAGATCATCGGAGTTTGTGCTGAGGAGAGAGTTCTTCAGTGTTGTTACCTCTTGTGAGTGGCGTTGTTCCACCCCAAGGTAAATATACATCTCTCAAGCATCCATATGGTACGGGATGCTTCCATCTACGAGCTGCAGAATCGTCCTATTATGAGACGGACCGCTTGATATTTGTCAAGCCCCAATTTCATATCGATAGCAAGCCTGTACTCTTCCACCACCCTAAAAGACTGATGGAGATCTTTTTCTCCAAAGGCATGAAGTTTGAGATAATTGAATTATTATTATCATTTGAAGATGTATATGAAATAGAGGAGATAAAGTCTTTAGGGGTTTTTCTACAGGAAATCATTGAACCTTCGAGTTTCAAGAAGAAAAATTCAAAAATTTTGATATATATAAACTTTAATATTTTCCCAAATATCCATACAAAATTATTATTACATATTTTTAAACCTCCAGAAAAATTCTCAAACAACTAGTATATAATAATTGTCAATACTTAAAACTAACAAACTTAACTCTTTTTCCGTATCAAAACCAAATCTTGTTTTCATATACTCAATTTCATTTTATGTCCATGAACATTCAATTTATGAATCTTTAGACTCCCTTTCTGATGGAAAGACCTATCGCATATATCACATTTGAATTTCGGAGGTTTGTTGCATTCAAATTTGGCGTGTCTCCGTGCTGACTGGCGATGCTTGTATTTGGTGTGGCATGTACTGCAGCAGTGCCATATGCTTCCATTTTCCTCGTATCTGTAATAATCACCTACAAATAACAGTATTGAAGTAGAAACCAGAATTTAAGTCAACATTTTTAATCATAAATCATTTCAAGATATGAGATTAGTTCAAACTGTTTGAAAAAAGGGATATAAGGTTCATACTTTCACAGGCAATCAAACCTGTATGACTTTTTAATAATGAGTATAGGGTCAAATATGATCCTGCAAATTGCATAAGGCACCATATATTCTAGAAAACTGAATAGAATATAGAGTTGATAAATAAATGAAGAAAAAACGGTGTGACTGCAAACATTACTGACTAATTCTACCATTATGAGGAAATAATTTCACAGTCTGGTAATTTACAAAAACTCGATATATAATTGTAAATAAATATTACGTTCAATTGTTTGATGGAAGTAAATTAACAGGACTCAAAACAAAATTTTCATTTTTCTGGTAAACCACTAGATAAAATTGCCAACCAATATTTGAGGAATTCCAACAAATTGAAAAAAAAGAATCAGTTATATTTTGAATTTCAAACTCTATTTGAATCTTCCTATGCCTTTTTATTTCCATTTAGGATGAATGAAAGCGCCAGTTCAGTACAAAATAAAGTTAAGCGTTCCGGCTTTATAAAAATTCCAACTGGCAGTAAAAGTACTGAAATGCAGTTCAGATTTTAGTAGAAACACAGAAATAATTCAAATTACCTAAATTCATGATTGAATTATCATTCCCTGGCAATAACTTTTTCCCAATAGTTTTGGGGTAAAGCAACAAATCTAACGATTCCTTTCCTTTCAAGTCATAGGATTACAATGGATTAAATTCAATCTATCACGAATCGAACACTGTAATTGTTTCCCAAAAAGTATATTATCTTTTTTGAAAACATTCATTATTATAGCTGCAAATTTATTAAACACATATCGCGACATAGCAGCAACTATAAAACAATAAGACTTTCAGATACATTATGAAGAGCAAAATATTTATAACTATAATAAAACAATATAAATTCAACTTATCAGGTACACAAATACAAATACATATTTGAGTATAAATATCAAATATAGTATAGTACAGGAGCAGGAAGAAACTTTCCCTCAGTTATCTCAAAGGTGCCATTTTGTTCCATCCATTTCATGAAAGAGGGCGTATGCTTCTTCACTCACAAAGGATTTTGGTGAAATTGGTGACACGTGTGAATCGTTGTATTTGTGCCACGTGCCAGTATACGGGTGTCTGCAGTATGCTATATAATGCCCTCTGTAAGTAGTCCCACTGTGATTTAAAAGTGCATATAGATTATAATAACAAGTAGCCACATTTTCTGATGCAAAATTGTAGAGAAAATTCGATGACAACATTCAATTTGACTCTAAATCTTTTCGTTGGAGAGAATCTTTTTAAATGAATTACTAAAATATGGAGGAACTTGTGGATTGATAGGGACTTTGTGCATTTTCTCCTTTCCTTGCATTATCGCTCAATTTTTCTCATTGATTATATTAAATCTCTTCATGTAAACCTTCTGAAATATAACGAAGGAACTCTTGGGCGTCTTTATGGGCATTACCCGTGAATCGAGGAGCAAAACTTTGAATCTGATTTTTTGATGAGACTGTATGTACTACTCTATCAAATTAAAGCACACTCGTGTTTGATGAAACAGTTGTTACCAATATATTTCATTCCATTTAACCTAAGGGTTTTGACTGAAGAATTTATTATTGGACAATTCGAAATATCTTTGATATACATTTCAGAATTCTGCTGAGAGAAAGTATTTTTTCATTTGGTTTTGTTTGAATTCCATAAAGTGGTTTGTTATTACTTATCTATTTTTCATAAAATTTGTTTTCAGGAAAAATGTAAACATCAAGTTTTTTAGAATCAGGAAGAGTACCAAAAAACGAAGCCGTGTTTGCTCTTTGGATGGCTATACTGATTTTTTGAATGAGAAAAGATGTGGCTCTTGATTCGTGAGTTTTATTGGTTACTTTTCCCAATTTCATTTATGAAAGGTAAACACCTAAAGTTTCAACACCTATTGGGCGAAAAATATAATCTTTTCCCAAATTCTGATATTTCCGTAGTTTGGAAATTTCTGCTAAAGAGGCAGCAGCACCGGCTTTCGCAGAAGTAGCAAGAAGATGGCGAGTTGCTAATCTATCCACCCAAGTAAAGTCCCGAACAACACATTTACCGTTTTTCCAAGTGTTATACCATCCGGCCGTTTTCCATCAAATCGACTTGTACTAATGGGTTCTAAAATCGCAGAAATTTTTGCTGAAGTTAAAGCCCTTTTGACTAGATCATTTTTTGCACAATGGCGAGATAAACGACCAGCCCTAAAACGGCAGCTCAATCCATGAGTACCTGATTCATCCACAAATGCACCATGCACATTTACAAAAGTGTTGAACACCAAGTGTTATACCAAGCCAAAATCCAATCGCAAGTCTGAAAGAGAAACAGCATTCAATCAAGCACAAGATTCTTTCACAGTTAATGCGAGAAGACGAGCCTAATTTTTTAAAATGTCAGAAGCTGTATTCAGTAAAATACTAGTTGGTTAATCTGGTAATGGTTTATCCCATGCCCTCTAATTTTTCACGTCTTCAATTTTCATTGTTTGGCCAGTTCTAGATTCCCAAACAGATTTGCCTCGATCAAAAACACAATTAGATATTGGAAACACTGCAAAAGGACGACAGAAATGATGGCAAGGCGTGTGAAGTGGCTGAACGAATCCCTAATCCTCCTCTAGACTGGAAGTGTTGCCTGTAAACAAGTTTCGTTTTTGATAACCCAAATGACAGGGTTTGACTGATAGAATTGTAGTATCTACAGTTTCAAAAAGATACAAACTCAAGGTGACCCCAGCTACAAAATGGCGGATGACATATTTTCTTCACAACTACCTCAATAAGGGTATCAAGAGACAAAGCTTGACTAGTAGAATAGTAGTACACTGTGAAAAAGATGCAAATACAAGATAGCCGCAGCTACAAAATGGCGGATTACATATCGCTGGTTGGTTGTTGCTTGTATGTTATTTCATTGTAATTTCAGTTTTTTCCTTAATAAAATTGTTATTTTTCAGCTAATCTTTCAATTTTTTACAGATTCTTTCACGGATTTCAAATCAATTAATATAATATCAGACAATGGAAGTCCGAACCAATGAAATTCACCACGAAACATTGTTAACCTTCTTCAAACGATTGGTAATGTTTTCTTCGTTAACGAAGTCTTACTTCCATTAGAAAAAAAATTCTTATAAGGAGTATTAGTAGATGTAGAGATATATTTACTTTATTTTTCATTCAACTACAATAATCGGAACAATATTTTGAAATATGAATATAACAATTTATGAATATATAAAAAAATTCATCAAAATCTACGTCATCCGAAAATGTCCAAGCTGTCGTTTTTTCTTTTTGTTATTTCAGTTTCATCATACCTAAAAAAAATTAATCTTTTAATACACAGAAATAAGATATAATCAGAATATTCTAATTAATAAATAATAAAGTTGGTGGTAGAATTTTATTTTTCGTAGGTCTCACAAAAATTTGGAAAAATCTCACGTTGATAATTTACTTTTTAACGATACCGAAACAACCAGTCTCTGTACTTTTGTGGGTAATAATTTTCTACCAATTTCAGGGCAGAGCGAAAGTTGGTTTTTATAGATTTCTGATATATGATAAGAGTATTGATAATTGATGATAGGGAAAGAATACCGACAAACAATACAAGGAATGACATTTGTTGCACCGTTTTAGAACTTGCTTCTGAGAATATTATTCAAGCATTGTTCAAACAAAGTTGAGAGAAGTATTAAAAATTTTTTCCGAACAGTTATTGGGTTTCAATAATTTTTCATTGATTTAGTACGTTTCGAGATATTTCATACCGACTGCCACATTTTCTGAAAATATCATTAGTTCAGGTCCACGAAGAATATTAGTAAGATTCAAAATTACGGCTTACTTATGAAATGCCGCAATTTGTTGATGAATATTAACAAGTAGTAATGTCAGTTAGACAGGGTAAATCATCTGAAAACGTACTATACATAAAAAACCATTATGAATAATTTTTGAGGAATCTCTCATAAAATATACATATAAGAGCACGAATATAAAAAGCATGAAAAACCTGGTAGCTATAAAATACATGGAAAGCATTTTTACAGGGTGGTACCTAACTACGATATGACACTTCAGAGGGTGAAGTTCTATGAACTGGAGTCGCTTCGTTTCTGAGATACAGGGCAGGGCGTTGAAGTTTAAAAAACGGTATTTTTAAAATATCGTTAATATTATTACACCAATTTGGTTGAAATTTATTACAGTTATTTGAAGTGATACGGTGCTTATTCAGCCCGTACTAGATTGAAATTATTAGCTCTAGTGGCGTCTCAGTAGGCACCACAGCTAACAATATTGAAAAAAAAGAACACCACTGACTTTTTTTGTAGTTTTATTTTTTTCAGCAACTGAAAATACAATTTTTTGTCGCTTGTGTTTTCTGCATATCAGGCTTTGTTTTCGAGAAAATAAAATCACTTCTGAAAACTATCCATTGACAACATAAAATAAAAAAGCAAAAGTAAATAATAAACAATTTCGACCTTGAACTAAATGAACAAAATGTCCACCTTCTGATAAAATACACGAGTATAATCGATTGATTGATTGTTTGAAATGTTCAAAAATACCTGAACGATTCACCCTCCGAAGTTTCGTACCGTAGTTAGAAAACATTCTGTACAATGTAATTTCTGAAAAAGACTAGTTCTTGAAAAAATAAATATTTTATTGTGATTAAATGAATGACCATATTGGTTTATACCATATTTATGAATTTATACATCTATTTGGCTGCACGTTAACGAAATGACTTAATCATGATGAATATATCCCTTCTTTTTCAAAAAGTACCACAAAGACTGTAATAATTTGATGTTAATTACTGTGAAGAGATGTATCTGATGAAAATAATCTAAAATTGAAAAACAGTTTTTTGAAATTAACAAAATTGGTATTTGTACTCCGATTTCTTGTTTTCAAATAGTATTTATATATAAGTGAAAAAGTACCTCTTTCCATGCGTTCCTTACTGCGTACCAGCCAATGTTTGATAACGTCAATTATATCCGATTCTGTTGATGATGCCGATACCACATTCAATCTTACTGCTCCTGAAAGCAATAATCCAAGACTGGATCACACGATTAGAGAGTCAGTTAAAAACAAAAGCAATTGATGATTCTTTATCTCTCATAAAAATCCCACAATATGTACCAGTCTTAATAATCTCCTGGTGATGCTAACTTGGTTACAAAACACGCGTCGAGTGAAACAGATGAGTTAATTAGGAGAATGATTTCGTGGCTTCTGTTTTGTGACGAAAACTTCCATATGTAAGAAAGTGAATATCTTTTCATGGAAAGGTTTCATCGTGAATATAATGGAAATATCTATCACCTCAATGTTGACTTGTATGCAATAGTAGAAAATGAATCTGAAATCCAAAGAGAATTTTGCATTCCAGATTGGTTTTTTCAGTTTCTCTTATGCTTACCACAAATATTTTTCCCTCACACTATAATCATAGCATCACAATAACATTAAAGCTATTGTTCCTTCGTTTGGATATCTTCTCCTTGTCAATGGAAAAGATGCCTATCTTGAAAATGCTACAGACCGTATTGAAAGATCTCTGGAAAACAAGGTCAAATCGATATTTAGACCTATGAAAATCATCTAAGGTCAGCTGAGGACCCCAGAGATCCCTTAGAACTACTGACAGTATACTATATCCCTTGTAACTGGTCTAAATTAGCACCTCGAATTAATTGAAGACACCCAAACGATTGAGTTGACTCCGATCGAAACAACTTACATTTTTTTATCAAGTTAGCATCACCAGAAGATGAGGTTATACCTGGCTGATACTAGTGTGTGAGAAAATTGTTTTCAATGAATTGAATTTTGTCCAGAGTACCTGTTTTGCTAATACCTAGAGGTTAATCGATCGATCCAATAATTCTGCATCGTGAGATGAATGAAAGGAAACATTTAATGAAAATGAATAAACTTGTTTCCTTTCATTCGTCTAACATGAAATTTTTCGATATTTAGAAACTGTACAAAATTGGATTAAGCGATTCATCTTTGAATATTAGCAAAATTGGTACCTCTGGCCTGAATTCCATTCAATAAAAATGATTTTGCCACACATATAATGAGAAATGATCTGAAATTTGACATAACTTTCTTTGATTTATTCTTTGAATGTTAAGAGTATTGTCAATATTCATTCGAAAACGATACAGAAGTGAAGGCATTTGTGTGATTCTTCTCAAACTTCATAATCGAGATGCTTTCAAGTCTTTAAAAATGTTTGGATAAGACTTTCAGAAATCGTAATGACATTCATTCACCTATTTATATTATGTCATCGATGACATAAGTAGATCAAACTTATTCCGTGACATCAAAAATCGTAATTCATGAGTGAATTGTGTGTATTTTCTATAATGTTATCCAATTTGGTACTGAAGAGCCTTAAGACAAGTGTCTTACGGGGAAACATTGATGTCTACCAGTGAGGATGACTGTGTTCCATGTAAGTGCAATTTGTTACCATTCATTTGAAGTAGAACTCCTGTGAATGATATCTGATTTTATTTCATAACGAATGTTTGGAATACAAACTGAGTAGAAAAAAGTATCTTCTGTATAATTCAGTGTTCATATAAAAGTATTTGTTTCGAAAGAATTTTTTTCTTTCGTGTAATTCAATGTTTATATGAAACATTCTTCCAGTTTGTGTCTGAAAGTTACCTCTTTGCATGATCTGCACATCCATGTATAGAGTTACTTATTTTCAAATTGATTACTTCCTTCCTTTCTTTGGAAGATTCCCACATTTTTTTATATCAAGATGGAGTAGTAGAAAGCCAAAAACTTTCTTTCCCAAAAATTAATCAGTCCTAAAAATATAACCCCTTCACTTCAAATAAGCCTCATGTTATTTCGATCTACAGGGGAAATAAATAGTTTTGTTGACATGGAAATTCTTTAGAATGAAGAAAGTTCGACAGAAATAGTGAAAACATTCACATATTCTAACTACTTAGCCGATTCAGAACCTATCGTGGTGGACAACAAAACATGAATATTAAATAACAGTAAATGAAATGAACATGAGAGAATAGTTATATTCGTACCACGTGTTGGCTCACTGTGAGTTTTCCCACTTTGATTAGGTAATGCATGGAGATTATAATTACAAGTGACTACATTATCTGAAGAAAAATTACTCATATCTGAGCCTTCCAGTTGAAAGTCGATAGCAACATTCAATTTTTGACTAAATATCCCTGTTGGCAAAAATATCTTCAGATGTATCACAAACCTTCGGCGAAGCTCATGTATTGATTTTGTATATTTTTTTTCTGTATTTCGAAAACATCATTTTTTGTCGCTATCTAGAATTTCTTCTTTAGTGAAGAAGTTCAGGCTTTGTGATGAAATCACTCGACCATTGGCTTATGAAATAAAGAGATACAATTCCTAGAATGAGTGATCAGATTATGTACATTTTAAGATGAATTTCAGAAGAACGATGATACCATCCACAGGCTTGGATATCTCCTAATATTCCAACAACTTTTGACGATTTTTTGCTGTCCAATTTCTCCAGTTCCCGGTGAAATTGGTTTAGAATTCTCAGTGATTTTATTCAAACCTTCCAGTAGAAATCAGAGGAATTTCTGGGCGTCTTGCTTGCTGCGCATGATTCATGAATAGAGAGGGAAATGTTTGGATTTGGAAAAAGTGTTTACCAGTCTATCCGATGAATCTTCTGACTAAAGTTATTTAATCACGTCTGCTAGAGCTTTGATTAGAGCACCCTTCGTGCTGGAAATACTTTTTTTGATATCTTTCACGTAGGTATCGCCCAGGAAGTAAGTGCGACTGATAGCTATGTGACATGAAACCAGTTGACCTTTTGATTTTCGAAAATCGGCATGGTTTTTGTTCGCAATTATCGTAATGAACTATGGAAAGCAACAGCCAACGTGAGTTTGAAAAGTGCCTTAGAAATTTCCAATGCAGCATTACCTGCTGTAGCACAATTATTATATGGAAAATAAAAGTCCAGTTTGTTTATTGATGGATATAAAGGAATGAAAAACTATTACAGAAGATGTAAGTAAGTTTGGCTTATTTGCCGTAAAAATCTTAAACGGTCAAATCATTCAACTTGTGAAGCATGTACTCTATATAGAAAAGTACTATGTTAGTGGAGAAAAATGTAAACATTGCTACTTTTCCAAAGATTATCGTATTTCTCGTGAGGAAGAATGTTGGTTAAAGAGTGCAAATATTAGAAGTCAGGGAAGCAAATAATGAAACATATCTTATGCTAAAGGTAATTTCAACAAAATAATACGATTGTAGGATATAGAAGTGCGACCTGATTTACTTTATTTTCACGTAGCAACAATTACTGGGTAAGCTGATGCGTGTAGACGGGAAGAACTAATAAAAATGTCAACTGGTCCAATAAACGACAAAGACATGTGGCTTGTGAAAAAACCAGATTCCAAAACACATACTGAGAGAACTGTACAGTCATCCCATACTCAACCTAAGATATTACTCGGGAATTACAAAAATGGACGAAGTTCGATTCAGCCTGTTGGTATCTACAGTTGTGGAATCTCGGATGAAGAATCGAAGAATATTTGAATGTTTTCAATCCTAAAAATTACACAGAGTGAAGCATATATAGACAATTCATTTACAAACAAAATTAAAATTGGCAAGACCATTCAAAAATTATCAGATGAAAACAAGTGAAACGGACACTTTTCCTCCTCGATTTGACTTCAACAAAAGGTATTCAAACATATCAAGCATTTCACACAAATTCAATCACTTCAATAAAAACAATTGCTCAAATTTTCATACAAATATTATATGTATATGAAAAACTATAGGTACTATTAGTACTGTTAGTACCTATTTTCTGTTCAAATTTCAATATTTGAACTATAAAATAGAAATGTCTCATTCATTTGTTTTTCTACACGGTTCCTAAAAAAATTGTGTACACAGCACATTCGAATAAAATTTTTTTCGACTAGCAGAATTTTGCCTACCCATCTAAGAAAACAGTATTTTCCGAAATTGTTACGTGAATTACTATTTTGACTTCAGACACATTTTTCAATACTGAACGGAAAAGAAATATAAAAATAAATTGACCTAGATACGTACATCACAAAAAAGTTCATAATCAACTTTCAAATGATATAATTATAAGTGAGAATGTACAAACTATTCACTTGCACAAATTATTCAAATCATACCTTACGTAAGTGATTTTGAAAACAAAGGTTATTCAGATAGCTGAAAAAATATGTTGATGAAATGAGTAAATCTGATGTTTGTTTTGATGCCATTTTATGTTCATTATTATTATTATCATTAATATGTGCTATTACGCCAATGATATGTTCCATATTTACGTCATTTGTCATACTTACTTATGATAACGTTTGCCAGTTTTTGTTTCTTGAATTGACGCTTTCCTTTTGCTCCATCCCACGAAAATAAAGAACCAATCTCGTTGGAAAGTGTTTTATATAATATTTTTCTGGTGACATCTTTCAAATTTGTGCCACCCAAGAAACTGAGTTCGTTGGACTGAAATCAAAAGTGACAATATATAATAACTTTCCATAAAATTAGAGTTACTCACTAGCATTATTGGGTTTTCTGTAGATTCTCTCAACCAGTTTTCCATTTTTTCTAGTTCAGTTTCATCTTTAATGGGCAAGTTCATGGAAATTTTGGAAGTGTTGAATAAATTCGGATCTAGCATTGGCTCATCGATAACATGATGAATGCGCAGAATTGAATTAGCAGTTTTTTGTATCATGTTGAGCTTTGAAGATATAACTGTCAGGGCTTTGAAAATTTTCAGCTGTACATCTGCAACGGGTTATAACTTACTCACTATAAACCAACTTTTAGTTTTCCCACAGAAAATTATTTATCAATGAATAATCAACTGGATTTGAGACCAAATCTTATAATAAGACAAAAATTTGTGTTTGTTATTGTCATTCTGTGATCATCAAATCAATATTACTATCAACTATGATACCAAATCTTATAATGATGAAGACAAAAATTTGTGTTTGTTATTGTCATTATGTGATCATTAAATCAACATTACTATCAACTACGAATAACCTAATAATTTGAAAATATTAAAGAGTTTTACTTTATTCGACATTCTCCATATCTACAGAAACAATTAAAATATGTATATAACATATTTTTTACCAATCACATACTGAAGATGCCCAGAATGTTGGCGAATAAAATGTTTTTTTATCAAAAAAAAGATATTTCATTGATTTCATATTGTACTGTACAAACAGTATAATTCATCGTCGAATGGTAGCAGATTTACTATTAACAGTGGTTCGTTCGACTCATTCAAACACTTTGTGAACGTTGGTTCGATCCCAGCTGCAGGACAGTTACTGCGTATCGTCCGACCCGTGCTAGGAATGGCACATAAAGAAATGAGTACTCTTTGATCTTTGGCTCACACAAGTTACATATTTTGTGGCTTGTCTAACTCATATTTTGGTTGACGAAAAGCACATTGAGAAGTTGATGTGTATAACGGAAGTGTTTGTAGATTCATTTTGGGCTGGAGGATCCAGTTATAACATTCAGAAAAGTTTGATTTCATGAGAAAATGTATGTATGTGAATGCTATATTTCAGAAAAAGCAACCCACTCAATATTTGAGGCGGTGTTGATTAATATGAAGTCAATCATACTTAGAATAATAAAAAAGTATACTTACCATCTTTTCATCGACCACATGCATTCGCATTCTGTCGCCATCTTGTCAGGATAGCAGTTATGAGTATATACTTACATATATAAAATTCAACATACCCAGCTCAACCATATTGCGTATTATGAAGATTTATATGTATACTTTTGTAATCAAGAAGAGCATTCATCAAATGGAAGAGAATTAAAAATAATAATGCAAACGGTCTAAACTTAAGCAAACCAAAGTGAAACTGACAGGCTAGAACTTTTCTATCTTTGAATATTCATCCATAAGAATATTGCATCACTCATTTCAAATATTGAAGTTATACGATACTATTGAGAAAACTGTAAATAGTTTGTTGCTGAAACCAAACAGAAATAATTGAATCAATATCAATACATATAATGAAAGTGTTACTAATAGTTGATTGTTTATCTGTTTGGCCGCATGTGCAATCAAAAACGGTTCGGTTTTCACTAATGTATTGTGGTATGCTTCAAACTTGTTATATCAATTCAAAGAATCACGTCAAACGTTTGTTGGTTAACGAAAAAACTACCCAATTGCTTCCATGTCTATAATATCTTACAATAGTATTCATTATTTGAGGTTTTGATTACAAACTCATTCATTGGTCATAAGAAAAAAGTAAAGTTTCTACCTACACTCTTGAAACATTTTCGTCAGAAGAATTGATGGTAAATTATGATATATTTCAACTTCAAAGACCATTATAATTTATTTTTGGTGTATACTTAGTCACTGTCATAAATTCAACTGTCTACCCCAAGAATAACAATCGTCAACGCTCAAAATGATTAGAAATCAAAACAATAACGACTTCACTTGAAATTCAATTCAAATGTTTATTGACAATCGAATACACTTTCTCATATTTATATCAACAATTCAAATGAATGGGTAACCAATTGTGAGTTTGTTATTGTTTGAAGTATATATTGTATTTCGGAATAAGCAATTTAGTAATAATTGAAACTTATATGTGATTCGATGAACGATACAGGCGTTGTGACTTTTCAAAAGATAAAATATAATAATTTCATTATTCGTGAAATTCTCATGAAATCTTGGCTACAAAGCTACAAAAATAAATACGTTTTTAACCTATTATAACTCGGCTCACAAAGAGTACCTACATTGACAATTTTATTTTTGTATCTTTCAATATCCAAATGACAAATCGCCTCATCATGCAAAATAATGTGTTGAAATAATGTACTCAACTATCGAAAGCATTCAACCCCACAAGTAACACGACATACATAATTTCAAAACAACTGTAAAATTACAAGTTTTATTATTGTGATTCACTACAACGTACTCGTACTTTCAAATGGTATTTCACATCATAATTTGTTCTAAACTTTCTTCTATTGTTCGAAATTTCGTAACTGTAAGTCGTAGAGAAAGGGTCATATTATGGAAAAAAAATCAAAACAATCAAGCTAATTTTTTACTACTGCTCATATTCTCACCTGAAAAATCGTGAAATTCATTTATAGTTCATTTGAATGACCCTATGAAAAATTTCTATTGGCAAGTAGGCATCAGGTACATAATATGAAAACAAAATATAAAACCGAAACACATGTATTGCCCTTCCTGGGCCTAAGTGATATCACGTTTCGGCTTCGATTTTGAATTAATTTTCAAGAATGAAAGGTATGGTTAAATTGAGGTTACAATCTATCTACCACTCAGAACTATATTTTTGTATGTTATATTTCAAAATACAGATTTGAATGAAATATTGCTGCAGTAAGTTGAATTTTCGTAATTCTGCAGTTTGTCTAGGGGTAAAGTTTTATATTTTCGCGAACTGATATGTCATTTTACATTAATCTCCAGAAATTAGTTGTAACAGTTGATGAAAATGAACATCATTTACTTTTTTCCAACAAACATTAAATTTTTAAAAAACTTTCAACGGTTTGTGAAGTAACAGTGACTCATAGGGTTGACTTTATTTTTTTACATTTATCTTTGTGACTGTGACTGTTTGTGCAATAATAGTGGATAAAGGAGTTATTCTTCATTTTGTTTGGTTATGGCTATCCATTCAGCGATGAATTAGTGGTGACTTAGGGATTCATTTGAATTTTCCTAGTTCCTTCTGTACTTTCACAGTACAGTGACAGTAGTTTCTTTTGTACTTTCACAGTACAATGACAGTGACATAAAGAAATAATTTTCATATTCTTACAATCTGTTTTGTAATTTTTGCAAAACTTCTTGTGATTTTTTGTCGAATGACTTAGACTTGCAATGTTTATTTTTCTGTATCTGTAGAGTAGGGAGGGTGAGTGTAGGCCCACAGCACTTAAGCCATATGTGACCCATTGTACATCCTCCCAAGGAGTTGTCCTCCGAGTAGTCAAGGATCCCGCTGCAGAATCACTACTTGCCAGTCAAAATGTGGCCGCAAATATTTTTAATTAAAAAAAGTGAGTGTGCTTCGAACCACACGACAGAAGTAAGTTCTTCAGCTCCATCTATATATATGTATGTATTCACAAGTGCTCTATCGGGGAAACCAAATAAAGTATGAGAAATCTGAAAACAAATTTCATAATAATTGAGTAAATATCAAATAAAAAAAATTTGGAACTAACGAAGAATTATCTCAAAATCGGTTTTTCGTTGTCAAACATAACTGAAAAATTTCAGATAAATTTCCAGCTAGGTCAGGTGTACCACAAGGATCGAATCTAGGTCCACTTCTGTTCATAACTTACATCAATGATTTACCGTCAGCTCTGAAATATATAGATTGCCTTTTTTGCTGATGATTTTAAACTATTCAAATCAGTCCAAACAGTCCGAGACTGCACATATCAGCAAAATGATATTAATAACATTTCAGATTTGGAGTTTGAAGAATAAATGTAAGAGTTTTATTGTATTGTCGCAACTCAGTACTCGCTCTGCTCATCATGAGAGGATTTATCGCTGTTTCAACCAACCCCCTTTCATCCAAATAATGAAAGAACTCATTTAAAACTGAATGAAATATTTATTATGATGCAAACGAAAAAAATTACGCTAATGGTAGTTAATAAAATAGTAAGGAAAGATACAAAGACTCGCTGCATTCTCAAAATGCTCTGGAATCGTTTCCGAAGAGTGATCAATGAATACTGATTGAATTTCTCAATACATTCTTTTGATTTTGACATTCCTCAATGCTTATTAAGATTCATATGCTGAGGTTGCAACTTTCTTCTGGTCACCTTACTAAGGTAAAATGCTTAATACGCATCCGTGCAACTTTGCGTATTTGGAGATTGTTTTATATTTCCATATCTTGTAATCGTATTAATTTTGATGTCTATGAACTGAGTGTTTTTGTTTTAGAATATTGAAGTTGGGGTTAAAAATCTTTCAATTCATGTATTTGCTTGAATGAATTTCAATTATTTCATGACTTTTTTCCATCCTTCCATGTGATGAAGGGTATCGTAGAGGTATTGGCCCGGCTCTTACTCCATGAAGTATTTTAGTACTTTAATTTTTTCAAATGAAAAAATTTTGGCGGCCACTTTTTGACTCGCAACCTATCATAAATGTATTTTCCTATTCATATGTGTATGTAAAAATTTTAGTTTGATTAACTACGCTATGAACGTAGTGATTTTGCGGCGGAATCCTGTGCTATAGGTCATCGTCCACCCCGTCCTTTCCAGAAAGGTATACAGGTCACTAGGAGACATCTCCTTTATATCGGCAGGTGTAGGCCAAGACTCGCCGAACACACACTCTCTTATTGACGATAACTCAGGATACTCGCATAAGACATGCCTGACAGTTTCATCTTCCTGTTCACACATCCTGCAAAGAGGTGTGTCCACTAACCCAATATTATGGAGGTGTTTCCTTAGTTGACAGTGGCCAGTGAGAAATCCTACTGTTGAGTGTAGGTGTTTTCTAAGCATCGCTAGATATTTCTTCGGCGCCAGCTTTCCAGGATCGCCCAGGGTGATCCTGGCAAGATTGCATCCTTTGATTCCTTCCCATCTCTTTAGGGATTGAGCATGAGTGTGACGTTTGGCTGGTTCGGCAATTGTCGAAGTCATCAGGCCGTATAGGTGTCACTGGGTAAAATTCTCAG